CACCTCGGAAGGATGGAAGGCTGAGTCAACCTTGAGCCGGTGAGATTTGAACCACTGAACTGCAGATAACAGTCAGCTGAAGTGGCCTGCAGTACAGCACTCTAACCACTGCGCCACCTCGGCTCTTTATTTGTATTAGAATGTATGACACCCAGGTACCAAATTGATCACCCATTGATTTGATATATTTATTAAAAAATTGAAAAAAAAACTTGAAATTTATTTTAAAAAATAGAGAGATAAGATTTTTGTTGTTCTTCTCCTAGGCCAAAGATTATGCCATGAAAGAGATCAGAAGTGTAATTCAACTTCCTGTCCTGATCCTTGTAGGCATTCTCCTCTCTGTGACGTGAACAGTACCCAAGTGAATTGCAGTGAGTAGCTTTGTGATTTTATAAAAGGTTTTTTTTAAAAGAGGATAAACATTAATACAAACTAATGTAACTTACGAAAAAGAAAGAAATCAAAATGAAAGCTAAAAGAAGGAAAACAGAAAAGAAATAAGTAGAAAGAAATTCCGTTCTTCTTTACAGCATTTATAATTATATACAATTATAAATGTATCTCTTAATCCATGGTTACATCACAACTCTTCTTCATATAATCTCTCCTCTATAATGTTCAAAATCACAAACCATACGTTCCTTGTTTTCTGTTTCACGTTAAAAAAAAAATCTCTGAAGGGTTTTCAGCCAGCAATAAACATAGTATTTTCTCCGATCAAAGGAATTGAGTTAGCCCGTATGAGCGAGTTCCATGACAAAGTATTGCTTTTTGGATTGTTGCCTCTTCTGTACAATTTCTAATAGCCTCTGTGTTTCTATTACCGACATTGGCGCACTCCAGAAAATATGTTTGCTTGTGAGGATTAATTGTCATGTATCACACAAATGAAATCATTTTGATTCAGTCAGACAAAGAAAAGCAAAGTTTCACATGTTTACTTGCAACTAAAAAGACATACTGTATGCCTGCCTCTTTCCCCAAGTTTTTATTTTCACATGCTTCCTGTCCTTTCTTCCAACTGGGCTTTCCTTGTTTCACTGTTTCTCAAAATACTTTATTAACAGAATGCACAGTCAGATGTGGAAGCTTCTCTCTGAATCTGCACCCTTGTTCATTTCAACGTATAGGGTTAAAGCGAGAGATTGAAGTTAACACACAGTAGAATTGGATATGTGTCCATTTTTTCCTACTTGGAGTTTCTTTGGTGGTGGTCCTTATGGGGTGGGATGTAGGAAAATTCATTGCGTCAAAGAGAAAATAATTTCTAGGCAGGTTTCTCTCCTTTGTAAGATTCCTTGTATATATTATGATTCTTGAAACTATCTTATAATAGCAATAGCAATAGCAGTTAGACTTATATACCGCTTCATAGGGCTTTCAGCCCTCTCTAAGCGGTTTACAGAGTCAGCATATAGCATATCGCCCCCCACAATCTGGGTCCTCATTTTACCCACCTCGGAAGGATGGAAGGCTGAGTCAACCTTGAGCCGGTGAGATTTGAACCGCTGAACTGCAGATAGCAGTCAGCTGAAGTGGCCTGCAGTACTGCACTCTACCCACTGCGCCACCTCTGCTCTAGAGCCGTGATGGTGAACTTATGGCACTCTCTGTGGGGGAATGCAATCCATCATCCCAGCTCAGCTCCACCACGTATGCGCATGCACCTCCCGCTGGCCAGCTGATTTTGGGGTCGCATACGCAGGGGGTGGGGAGAGCGCGGGAAAGTGCAGTGTTCACTCCCACGGCTCATTTTTGGTCCTGCAAAGGAGGCCTACTAGGCCCAAAATGGAGGCCAGGAGAGGGTTACACACATATCCATGGGGGCGGGGGAGCTCAGGGAGTCATGTGCACATGCGCAGGGGGTGTTGCGCTTGTATTGCATTATGGGGGCGGGTTTGCGCGCACACGCTTTCAGCACGCGATGACAAAACAGTTAGCCATCACTGGCCTAAAGTAGTTGTTTCTGTATCGTTAAATCAATTTCTGTTTTATCCTGCCCAGGTCAATGTGAACACATTACGCTGGAATTGTGCCTGAACCTGCCGTACAATTTTACGCATTATCCCAACTATTTAGGCCATCGGACGCAGAAGGAAGCCTCTATTAGCTGGGAGTCTTCTCTCTTCCCAGCCTTGGTTCAAACTAACTGTTACAAATACCTGATGTTTTTTGCCTGTACCATCTTAGTGCCAAAATGTGATTTTCAGACAAATGAGCGTATCCCACCCTGCAGGTAAAGTGGTACATTATTTTGGCTCTAAAAATAAATAAACAAACGAAACACAATGAAATGTAAATTATAGCTAGCTGGTCCAGCAGTGTGGTTCTTATATGCTTTCTGGTTCTGCCTTTATTTACTCTTTAATTCATTTCTTTGGCTTTCAGTACATAGGTCCTTATTTTCAATCTTTTTAGCATTTTCAGCATGGGCAAATTGTGCCATTTGGGTGATGCCATCACAATATCAGTCCCAAACTTCTCCTCCTTCATGGCCAATATTATTATCCCAAAGGTGCGTTTTTCAAGAGGCAACTGGACTTTCTGGTTTTTCTTTGAAGATGTTTCGCTTCTCATCCAAGAAGCTTCTTCAGCTCTGCTGAAGGCTCTTCCCCACCATCCAGTCAATTCTAAAAGGAATATAATTGCAGGCCTGACATCTTTACCATCTCTCTTTTGTTTTGCTCCAAGCAATTATATAGCATTCCAGAAAAATCTGAGGACTGAGTTACTGAATTATTGAACACACGTATATGTTGAATAATTCCGTTCCTGAATTATTCAATCAAATGTACAGACCTCAGGCTATGTCGCTTTGTTCAGATTCAAAGTTATGAAGGGCGTTGAATTTTGGGGACTTAGGACTGGTCCGTGGCATTTGGTCTGTTGCGGTTTCTGCCCGGTGACATAGCCGTGATCCAGATGATTGGCACTGGGCTCACAGGATGTCGCAGTGATCTGCGGTCCAAGTAATCACCACTTCTGACGTTCCCTGCTGGCTTTCCACAAGCAAAGTCAAAGGAGAAGTTGGCCTGAGATTAGAAGTTGTGACAATGTTTGGTCCTTGCTTAACGACCCATGTGGTCCTCACTTAACAAAGGAAAATGGGACTGCTAGAAGTGCTGTCACTAAGCAACATAATCACGTGATGTCATGCTTTATGACCGCATGGCTTAGCAATGGCCATCCTGGTCCCAATTTCCTTTGTAAACTGAGAACTACCTGAATCACAATACACATCCACTTGTGTTTATGTATGCTGATAAACATTTTTCTACCATCTTCTTCTTGTTGTTAGTTGCAAAGTCGTGTTCCATCCATCGCGACCCCATGGACAATGTTCCTCCAGGCCTTCCTGTCCTCTACCATCCTCTGGAGTCCATTTAAGCTCATGCCGACTGCTTCGGTGACTCCATCCAGCCATCTCCTTCTCTGTCGTCCCCTTCTTCTTTTGCCCTCAGTTTTTCCCAGCATTAGGCTCTTCTCCAGGGAGTCCTTCCTTCTCATTAGGTGGCCAAAGTATTGGAGCTTCCTTGTCAGGATCTGGCCTTCTAAAGAGCAGCCAGGGTTGATCTCCTCTAGGGCTGACCGGTTTGGTCGCCTTGCAGTCCAAGTGACTCGCAGGAGTCTTCATCTCCAGCACCAGAGTTCAAAGGCCTCCATTCTTTGGCTCTCAGCCTTTCTTATGGTCCAACCTTCACAGCCATACATGGCAACTGGGAAAACCATAGCCTTACTAGATGCACTTTTGATGTCTCTGCTTTTTAGTATGCTGCCTAGATTTGCCATATGACTTTCTATTGGATTTTTTTCACTACATTTTCTACCATATGACTTTTAAATTGTGTTGTTTTAATGGGGCTTGTTATATGTATGTGAATATTTGTAATTACGTGATTATAGGTTTTTTACCTATTTCCTACTCTCTTTCCTCCTCCTTCCTTCTCCCTGCCTTCCACTTGATCTTCTCAGGCCTCTTTGTGAGCAGTCCAAGGAACGTTGTGAATCTGTTCTTGGAATTGTCGGTTTACAGTGGCCGGAGGATACAGATTGTGCCCAGTTCCCAGAAGAAAATTCGGACAATCGAACTTGCCTGATGCCCGATGATAATGTAGAAGGTTATTTCTATTTCTCAACTTTTAACAGAATAGCAAAGTTGGAAGGACCTTGGGGGTCTTCTAATCCAACCTCCTGTTCAAGCAGGAGTTCCCATAGCATTTCAGACCATGAACCAACAAATGCTTGCCTGACAAATGCACACCGACAAAACCACCGCGACAAAACGGCGACGTTGAAAGCGTGCCCACTAAAGCGCGGCAACAAAAACCACGCCCACAAACACTCTATAAGCCTCCTAAAGGCTATGCATGCAATTTTTTTTGACAAACAATGGGCCCATTTTCGTGAAAAACGGGTTGTTTTTGCTCATTTCGGGGGGGCACCCCCAAGAGCACTCTACAAGCCTCCTAAAGGTTATTCATGCCCTTTTTTAAAAAAGAATGGGACCATTTTTGCGAAAAACGGGCTGTTTTTGGGAGGTCTGTAGAGTGCAGAAACTTTTTTTAAAATTTGCTTCTTCAAAATCTTGCTGCGTCTTATACTCCGGTGCATCTTATACTCCGAAAAATACGGTAAGTCTTCTCTAAACTGCTCATCGCGCGAGAAGCGCGCGAGAAGCAAGCCAGTTGTTAAACCGGTAGGATCCCACCCCTGATTTGAAGGCTGCTGCTCTCTTGTTCCTTTTTTCTTTTCTTTTATAGTTTGTATACACCCGTTAGTACAGCAGGAGTTTGAAACGATTGCTTTTTGTAATTTTCCTGGCAGAATGCTCACCCAGTCACTTCAAATGTCGTTCGGGGAGGTGCATCTTGGCTTCCAGAAGGTGTGATGGGCAACCAGATTGTGAGGACGATAGCGATGAAGATTACTGTGGTAAATGAATGAAGCAAGACTTCTAGAACTTTCAGCCAGAAGTTAACATAGCTATAGAACAGGCAACAACATTTGCATATCCGTGAAGGCAGGGGTGAAATGCTACCGGTTCGGACCAGCTCACCCGAACCGGTAGCAAAGATGCCGGCTGTTCCCCCGAACTGGTAGTAAAAAAAATGCTACTGGTTCAGGCAAACCAGTTTTTCGATGATCAGCATGTGATTAATATTAATCTAAATCACGTGGCACAGCTGAATTCAGCCCCCCTCACTGTTTGCTTACCTCGCTGTTTGCTTACTCAATTGCCAGGCACGCTGAGTACCAGGGTCTGCCCACCCACCCGGACGTCATTTTGACGCTCTGCGCATGCGTGTAGATGGTGAGTGGTCACATTGCTACCAGCCCTTCATGGTATTGGACCTGGGTACTTGAGAGACCGCCTGCTGCCAATTACCTCCAATAGACCGATTAGATCCCACAGATTAGGCCTCCT